TTATAAATTTGAATTGCAGTTTCTTTGGATATAAAGGGCCGCACACGTTTTAGGGCGCCTATAGCTGAAGAGATTTTGGTACAGATCACTTCAACGTGCTTACCCTAAGAGAGTTGAGTCTTATCGACTCTCTTTATAATTTGGTAATTCTGATTTTTGCATCGTCACATTGGGCAGATGGTCTTTGTCTTGATCCAATAGTCATTAGCTCTGTTTTAGCAACTTGATCCAACATTAGCTCTGTTTTAGCAATTTGATCCAACTTGATCCAACAGTCACTAGCTCTGTTTTAGCAACGTCATAGACTGAGCTTGTTAGCTTCCAGCCAACAACTATGGTTATTTAATTCAGGGGTTAGAGCTAGCTTAAGCTCTGTTAACGTCATAGCAGACAACGTAAGATTGGTGTAATCGGAAAACATTCTTGGTACGGCGCCCCGCAAGGAGTTGGGAAGATCACTAACGTAAATTAAGAATAGCAGAGGACCCAATATACTACCCTGAGGCACGCCGTAACTGAAAGTACGGGCAGATGATAGTTTGCCACTTACACTACATCTCTGGGTTCGGCCACTTAAGTACGACAAGAACCACTTTATAGCTGCCAGATCGACACCCAAGTATAACACCAGCTAAGTCTATGTCGATTCTCATAACCACTGTATGAACATTTAAGCGTTAGAGGTTAGTGGATGAAGGTTGTTAAATCTTGATGAATCTCCAGGATATTCAAGGATCGAATCGAATAGTCTCAATGATACTTGACTCGTCTCATTCGAATTAGATAAATGAGCATGAACTTCTTCCGTCTAACATAGGAAGATAAGCGCACTGTAAGTGTGGGCGCACGCTACATTTCGATTTTCTTTTGGACCATCCATTTACTGGGCACAAGGTAAGTTTACAGAGCTCTGAAGACACAGATCACAAGCAAACATGACACACCGTTTTTCTTCTCTCGCTCTTTAAGGGATGAATTGGGACAGCTCGCTTTACAAGTGTACAATATACAAAAACATCATACACATCTGATATACCTCTTTCTTAGCGTAAAGTCGGAAAAGTCATTGTTTGTCAAGAGCTAGTGCGCAACACAGAGAAGCGTCTAACTAGTTCTCTAATTAAGCCACGAAGAGATTCTGCACACTACAGTCGAACCTCGATTATCCGGACCACTGGGGACTGGCCCGAATAGTCCGGATAGTCGAGAGTCCGGATAATCGAGAGTCCGGATAATCGAAAATATTAATATTAATGAGTCAACACTGAATACATTTGTAAATCGTAACACTAAATCAAGAATCATGCAAGAATGAACCACAATCACAAGCCATTTCTGATTACAATTTACTACTGTGCTTGTTAGGCGTGTTTAAGATCACTCGGGAAATAACCTTGCCCAAAATTGTCTTTTGATGCGAAACAAATTCAGTTCTGACTGGAATTTTATAACTCAGTTAGGCGTATGATAGCTTTCCTATGGATAATAAATGTGCCTAATTAATATTCATGAAAAAGGGGGACCAGAAAAGCTAGTCCGGATAATCGAGAAATCCGGATAATCGAGGTCCGGATAATCGAGGTTTGTCTTTATAAGGGCGCAAATCAATAAGTGTAAGCCACATGGAAAACAGCTCATGGGCGCATGATTCTCTCAATAGCTCTTTTTCTTAGGCCACTGTGAAGCGAATCCGCTTAAAGCTTGCGTCACCAACCGTGGTCAGTAACCTGGCGGCAGCGTTTCGAACGCGTTGTAACTTATTAACGAGTATAGCAGGCAAGCCATATAATTTTGCATTACGGTTGTCGATTCTGCTTATAACAAAAGATTTCATTAATGACTCTGCAGCTTCAAATGGCAGATATTTTCTTATACGCCTTATGTATTTTCCTATACACCTAATTTTCTTATACGTCATATGTTGGGCATAAAGAAAGCACGCTCTCAAGATAGCATACACAATCGACTCGCTGTAAATATGCAAGCCTCCCAAAAACTTTTATCCTGAACAATCGGTTAGCCATTAATGTATGATCCTGCCCAATACAGGGCCACATTTCGACGCCACTTTCCACTGGTTCGTTGGTTTGTTTGTATGTTTGTTTGATTGTTTGTTTCTGTGGTATTCTCAATGCTGCCAAAATGCTTTCTTTTGTTCATCGCTCATAATTCTTAGTCAAATTTGTCACTGACGGTTTCGCTGATACTGCAAGGTTGCATTAACGGAGTCGGACTTCGCGTGAGAAAACACTATCACAGCCCATAACTTCTAAAAGCGTAAAGCAGTTTTTTGGAGAAACAGCGAGAGATGAGCTGAAGTGTGATCCACTCAATGATTGTCCTTTCGAAGGAAATATCACAGGATTGTGAGTGATTCACAGGGATTCTATCCCTCGAGAATAGGTCCTCTCATTCTTGCCACAAAAAACCAAAATGTCATTTGTAAATCCAGAAATCAGTATTTTCAAGTTCAAGTTCAAGTTCAAGTAAGGATATATCTTTCAATTTCTCAGAAGTTTTTTCCAGTCCGTATAGCTTGGAGTCAAGAAAAAATGGACTTGCACTTTCCACTTCGAAACGCCGCAATCACATTCTAGGACCTTTCTGTTAGAAATGTGTTAAAGAAACTCCCACCAAAAGAAAGCCGAGTGTCAATATGGAATAAAACATTGGAAGAAACACCTGTTCTTGTTGCGTGCAGCAACCTACGCGCAAAGCGATTTCCCACGCACGCATCGATCCTCAGCGTGTGCTTACATCTTTCTGTTTTTTACTCTT